GCGCCAATGCCAAAGTTGAAAGATAAACAAACGAAGAAAACAATATGAAAGAGGCAGGATGATGAGGGAACGGGGAAAGAAGAGGAAGGAGTAGGAAAGAGGGAAAAACGAGGGGGAGAAAGAGAAGACGCACTTGGCTTGGAGAAGGGGCATACGCTGACGACGAAACTGTCTGGAACGGCGACCGCAAGCATTCGAGCTCTCGAAAGATGGGCACGCCAAGACATGTTCATCGCGGAACAAGCCACCTGGAAGCCAATTGCTCCGACAGTAAGACCCCGCCCACACGGGCACCTTCTCAGTTCGTCCGGAATAAGCCTCATCGTCGTTCCTGTGATTGCGGAGGTCCTGCTCCTGCCTCCATTGCGCCATTCTCCTCCTCCCCTTGGAGCGTACCTTTCCCCCGCCCCCTAATTGGCCTCCTCCCCCTCGCCATCCTGCCGTTCCTCCCCCTTCCACCACCACCCCTACCCTTATTGCAATGGCGCGCACGTCGATTTTTCTTGGCGGGATTCCCCATTTTGGCGGGTCCCGGCCCCGGCCACGGCCCCCCAGCAGCCCGGCCCCGGCCACGGCCCAGGCCTCCCCGCCTCGGGCGGCCGTTGCGGGGGGCGTCGTTCAGGGAGGAGGAGGAGGAGGAGGAGGAGGAGGAGGAGGAGGAGGAGGAGGAGGAGGAGGAGGAGGAGGAGGAGGAGGAGGAGGAGGAGGAGGGGGAGGAGGAGGAGGAGGAGGAGGAAGGGAGGAGAGGAGGAGGAGGAGAGGAAGAGGGGAGGAGGAGGAGGAGGAGGAGGGGGAGGAGGACGAGGAGGACGTGCCACTCCACTGGCCAGATCACGAAACGCTCTGGACCACCTCGCGAGCCACGCCGCCAGTGCAGACCGCAGGCCGCTGGCGCGCGAGACCAAGCCGCTGGGACAACCCCGCGGGCTTCGAGCGGGGCGCGGCCGCGCCCGTGCGGGAGGCACCGGATTACCAAATGTTGATGACCCGCACGGGTTACTGACATGACCTCCTCCTCCTCCTCCTCCTCCTCCTCCTCCTCCTCCTCTCCTCCTCCTCCTCCTCCTCCTCCTCCTCCTCCTCCTCCTCCTCCCCATCCAGCCTGCTCCTCTCACGCCGCCGTCGGCGGCGCGCGCGCCCCTGCTTTGCCCGCTTCCATCTCGGCGCTCGCCCGTCGCTGCAGGCTGCCACGTCGCAGTTGTGAGGAATTCTCAGGAGGGGAGCCTCCTGAGAGTTCCTCACGATTCACTCACCGTCGCGGCTCCCGCTCGAGACTTCCTTCCATGCCACGCCTCTGGAGCCCCCAACAGCGACGACAAGTACAAGATCTGGACGACCCGCTCGGACTAGTCACATGATCCGGCGGCCCCACATGGAGGGGGCTCCCGCTTGAGACCTCCTCACAATTCACTCACAGACGAGGCTCCCTCTCGAGCCTTTCTCCAGATCCACGCCTCAGGAGCCCAAAAATTTGACGACCGGTACAGGATCTGGACGACCCGCTCCGATTACTAACATAATCTGGTGGCCCCATCTCAGACTTCTTCACAACTCATTGAGACGTCCTCCAGATCAGCCCAAAAAAGAAGACAAAAACAAGATCTGGACGACCCGTTCTGATTACTAACATGATGATGATGATGATGATGATGATGATGATGATGATGATGATGATGATGATGATGATGATGATGATGATGGTGATGGTGATGGTGATGGTGATGGTGATGGTGATGGTGATGATGATGTTGATGCTGCTGGTGCTGATGATGCTGGTGTCGATGCTGATAATGCTGGTAATGATGATGCTGCTGGTGATGATGATGCTGATGATGATGACGATGATGATGATGGTCATGATGGTGATGATGATGATGATGATGATGGTGATGATGATGATGATGGCGATGCTGATGATGGCGATGATGATTACGATGATGATGCTGATGGTGATGACGATGATGATAATGATGATGATGAGTATGATGATGATTATGGTGATGATGATGACGATGATGATGATGACGACGACGAGGATGGTGAAGTGATGGTGGTGATGATGATCATGACGACGACAACGAGTACGACGACGACGAAGAAATGGTGATGATGCTGATGATGATGATGTTGATGATGATGACGATCACGGTGGCCATGATTATGAAGGTGGTGGTGATGATGTGGGGGTGCTCCTGATGTTACTGCGCGGGGGTGCTCCGAGAAAACAAGAACCCCACTTTGGATGTGGGAACAACACGAATCAAAACCAAAAACACATATGATTGCCTAACTACTGAGCTCTGCGTGCGCGCGCGTGCATTTCATCATCGTCCTCATCAATACCATCGACATTCTCATTGTCAGTGTCCTTCTTGCCATCTTCAACATCATTATCGCCATCATTCCCATGACCGTCACCAACGTAGTCGACATCATCACCACAGTCGTCATCATCGTTACGGTCATTGTCGTCGCCCGTGTCATCATCGGCACCACCATCACCGTCATCATCATCGTCGAATTTAACGATGTCGTCGCCACTATCATCAAGCGCCCGCCCGAGGTATGGATCTGCATGACCAACGTCCGAGCTTCATTGCGCCTACTGAGATATGCGAGCATGTTGCGATGTGTCACTGCACTCGAGGCCTTTTGAGTTTGCCAACAAGCTGCGGCTGGGTGGGCGGGATGTTTCCTCGAGCACGGGAGGTGGTCACGCGCGGATGTCCACATTGAATTCCATCATGTGCATTGCGTCCAATTGACTGCATCCCGCACACCGCTCCAAATTGATTGCGCTGTTGCTCCAAATCGATGTTGCGTCCCACAGGCTGCACACCACAGAACGCACATCGAGATCGCAGGAGCCCAACGTGCTGGATCCACGCTAGCAAACACTGTCACCATCGTCGTCATCGTGGTCATCTGAAGGGGCCCTGGGACACACAAATAAATACACACGAATAAGAGAATCCCCCATATCTTTCCCATATTTCCTGGGCTTTTGTCTTCCCCCCCACTTCCCATATTTTCCCTTATTTTCCTGGGAATCGACCATGAATTATGTCTGTATGTTTTTTCCCCTCCTGATCATCCTCGTCACCGTCGTCGTCATCATGGCTGCCGTGCTCCTCCTCGTCATTCCCCTGCCGTCCTCTCCGGGCCCGGCCGTGCCGCCAGGCGGTACGCATAATGTGATCTCCCCATCTCACCGCATGGGCGTGGGCCGGTACAGTGCTCACGTACGTGTTGGCTGGCTTGAGCCCAACTGAGCGGGACCGAAGGGAAGAGCGGAAGGGGAGAGGTGGCGGCAAAACAACAGTCGGGTCGGGCGAAAGGGGCGGAGAGCAAAGGGGGGGTTTGAGAGTCAGCTCACGTGGCTGATTTTCCCGAACGCCCCCCCCTTTATCAGAGAAAGGGGGGGTCAGGTTCGGAAACCCCCCCTTTCCCAATCCCCCCCTTTCGTCCGGCCCGAAAGAAGGGAACGGGGAGGGCCAGAAAAGAGGGGCCAGAGGCCAAACCATCCAGGAAGCCGAGGCCGCACCAGAGTGCAAGCTGCCAAAGAAGATCCCACGGGGATCGGCTGGGCGAGAGAGAGCCTGCGTCGGGCGGACGCCTGCACCTCGCAGCCACGCCGGATCGCACTCCCGCCGAGCGCGCCCGAGGCCGCCGCCCGCCCGAGGCCGCCTGAGCTCTGCGCGCCTCCATTCAAGGGGCCCTGGGGCACACAAAGAAAGACACACAGATGAAAGGATTCCCCATACTTTTCCATATATATATATATATATATATATTTGGGATCTTCGTCTTCCCCCCCCCCACTTCCCATATCTTCCCATATTTTCCTGGGGATCGACGATCAATTGTGTCTCTGTGTGTTTTGTTCCCTCCTGATCCCTCCCCGCCCGGCCAACAAAAAACCCCCGCGCCCGGCCTGCAGGCACACCCGCGCCTCCAGGCTCCGGCGCCAGGGCGCGGCGCGCGGGGCCCGGGCTCCCTCCCTGCCCCCCCCCCCCCACCTCCCTTCTTACAGGGCAGAAAATCCACCCCGATACTG